AAAAATTTTTACATGTTTATACACACACACAACGATGTATACAATAGGTGCACTTGAATTACCAAGTACTCGAGCCTAGTGTAATGTATTCTCTTGCTCTCCGCTATATAATACACGAGTCATTTCGCGTTTATCGCGAGCGCAACTCCGCGAGCGAGCAGGGCAACGCTCATTCAAAAGAATATTTTAATAAAATAATGAAAAAAAAAAAAAAGAGGCAAGTGTCCGAAAGGGCTCTCTGCAACCGATCGTGTATGTATATAATGCACATGTGCGTGCGCTCGCTCGTAAACTTGCAAACGAGATCGACAGAGAAAGAAAGAGAGACGTTAAGTTCATTACCGGCCACTATATATATAACATAACGTCTATATAATATAGACGATATTTTAACGAAAGCATAAGGCAGCAGCACACCGAGTGCTGCCGCTCGAATTGAACATCATCATCGTGCAGAGCAGCGATCTGTGCTTAGCCAAGTGTAGGATATTGGCTGTATACTACTACTACTAGTACGGGAGAGAGCAGAAACAGATGACAAAATTATGTTGTTCGGGACACACATCAGAATGTCTCTTTGCCAGCAGCGCACAAAGCTCTCCAGATACATATATATACACGTATACGAGAAAGAGACCATATATATGCGGCGAAAAGTCGATTAAGGCTCGGGCACTACCACCATCACCGCCACTGCTACTACTACTAGCTGTGTAGTGTGGCAATCTAGGTGACGAAGAGCCGGGCAACACAAGCACACCCAGGCAGACACACACAGGCCAAGGGCTGCTGTGCTCTCGAGAGTCAATGAGAGAAAGAAATCGCTGCAGTTTGTTGTGCTCGAGGGAGCTCCATCTGCGAGAGAGAGAAAAGCAGCGCGACGAGCCGAGCCGACCGAACGACGAGCGTAGAACTGGGGTCACCCCTCGTGCTGCTACTGCTGCTTTTCTCTCCCTCTGCTGCTGCTGCTGCTGCTGCTCTGCAGCGTAATACATCTTTCTCGGGTCCCAGCATTTCGCACCCCTGACTGCTACTCTGCTTGTGCAAGCCAAAATTTACTCTCTCTCTCTCTCTCTCGCTGTATAAGGTACATTTATAGATCAGTGGCAGGCAGCAGCGCAACTCTCTTTCCCGATCCATTATTACTCGTGTATTGTGCTGCTTAACATTGACTCGATTGCTTTCGAATAAAGATGCGGGAGCGCTTGTATATATATTTATTCTCTCTCGCTCTGTGTCAGTCTCGAGTTATTCGATTTACGGCCGTTTTCGAATAAGCTATACCGCTGCTTCGAGCTAACGCACTCCATTATTATTACCTAGTCCCTTCTTTTTTTTTATTCGTTTATATACTTCTCAATTCGCTCGAGAGAGCCTCGATTATGTCGCATCGAGAGAAAGAGAGAGAGAGAAAATATATACACAACGGCTGGCCTGCTGCTGCTGTTGCTGCAGTCGGTGCAGGCCCCGCGCGCTAGCATATATTTATACCGCTAAAAGTACGCGCCAAAAAGGCTACGTATATATATATACCGACTGGCGCGCACGCGACTCTCTTATATGTGCGTGCGTGCGTACGCGCCCGCTCGTGCGAAATTGTGCTCCGTATATACGATATAATACCGACTGCATTATAAGCTCGCACATATTATATATTATAAAAGAGAGAGAGAGAAGCGATGAAAAGTTTTTTTTCTCTTCTTCTTCATCTTTCGCTCTCGGCTTTTGTGACGGCGTGTCAAATCAGTCACGGAAAACAGTTTGTCACCGACGGCGATGTGCGACCCTCGAGAGACGCACACATACATACATATAGGAGTTGCTTATTACACAGTCAAGAGAGCGCATATAGATGTACGTATATGTGTACGATGTGTATAATAATATAAATATAATAGAGCAGCGCAACGTCGTCGTCGTCGTCGCGAGCGCGAAAGTAAGATGGTAAAAGAGAGACAACGTAATACACTCGGCAACAAAATTATCGCAACAAAAAAATTCATCGAAATTTTGTCGATTTTCAAATGCTTCTATCTTGGGCTAGATTTATCGTATCGACACGCTTTTTTTTTTAATTTCTTGGAAATTTTGTCCTCTTTAAATCCATATAAATTAAGATAAGATTTGAGTTAATGTTGAGTTACCAGTAGTATTTGAGCGTGACCCTAAAAATTACTGAAAAAAAATGACTGTTTGAACGTGTACCAGTACACAGTAATTTTCCTATCGAAATCTAACATACACCATCGCAAAGTGCTCTTTTCAACGAGTAATTTAAAAAAAAAAGACCTCTCTACGATTTTTTTAACGCCCTGTAGGTCGATTTGAAGGTACGGTTTATGTACGCAAAATGACCAGAAAATCGTCTTGATTTCAGGTAAATGGGGGATTTTACGTACTTTAAATGGTATCTTCAAATCGACCTACAGGGCGTTAAAAAAATCGTAGAGAGGTCTTTTTTTTTTTAAATTACTCGTTGAAAAGAGCACTTTGCGATGGTGTATGTTAGATTTCGATAGGAAAATTACTGTGTACTGGTACACGTTCAAACAGTCATTTTTTTTCAGTAATTTTTAGGGTCACGCTCAAATACTACTGGTAACTCAACATTAACTCAAATCTTATCTTAATTTATATGGATTTAAAGAGGACAAAATTTCCAAGAAATTAAAAAAAAAAGCGTGTCGATACGATAAATCTAGCCCAAGATAGAAGCATTTGAAAATCGACAAAATTTCGATGAATTTTTTTGTTGCGATAATTTTGTTGCCGAGTGTATATACCTGTATCTGATATACGGGCGCAAGTTTCATTTCTGGAACACCTCCTACGCGACCGTCTAGCGTCTACGTCGCGACGAGAAATATGTAAAAAAAAAATGAAAGAGATAGAGAAGAGAGAAGAGAAAAAAAGGGAAAATATTTTATTCGTACTGTTACGAGGATTATGCGCGATGGATAAAACGCGACCTTCATCGTATACATGCATATTCAACCTTATGTGTCTATAAAAGCTCTGCCTTTATAATACATTGTGTACAGTCGAGCACTCGAGGTAGGTGGAATCTCCGTTGTTTTCCGAACTCGTCCGTAATATATCCATTTATCCAGTCATATGTATACGCAGAGACAGAGAGAGAGAAAGAGAGGCCAAAAGCAATTTAGTGGCAGGATGGCATATAGGCTTGAAACTTGGCGCGCGCCCCGAGTATCCAACACACACTCACATATCCATATAACATATATATACCGTTCGTCTTCCACCTCGTGTATAATACGTATTCGCGCTTATTGTGCATATATCCACGTGTGTATGTGTGTGCATATATATACGGACACATCCTATCGTACCCTATATATACCCTCGTACCGATGGTCATTTAATTATTCGAGATATCCGGTCGACGCAAATGTCGGCCTCTATAGAGCCGTCCTTGCTGCTGACTGTCTTTCTCGATGTGTGTGTATATATATTCGCTGCGGCGGCGGTGTGCATACCTCTCACTTTTCGCATGTACTACACACACATACTACTGTACGGACTGTCTCTCTCACTCTCTGTGCGAAACAGTTGGCGTTTGTCCGTTGTGCGCCTATATAGTATATATATAGTGGCTCTCTGTACCGTCGACGACTACTACTACTACGTATATATATAGAGTACTGACCAAGCCCCTGACATACACTTGCACGCGGGACGCTCACATTTATTCCACCCGACCCACGACTGCTATACTACTACTGTATATGCATTTCTCTGTATATATATGCGAGTGTGTGTAAGTGCCCCGCGTTACATACGTACGAGTTCGGATGTATCCGTGTCTCTTTCTCTGTCTCTACGTATATATATTGTATATACGTTTATTAAAACGACATTCTGCATTGTAAGGGCCTGGCCTCAAACAATGAACTTCTATATACTAGACTCAAAATTGTTTTCTGTTATATCTATCGATACCATACGCGGAAGGAGCAGCAGCAGCATCATCCTCCTGTATATAACACTGCAGCAGCAACTCTTTTCACCGTATATTATATATATACGTATATATATATACCCGGTACACGTAAGCCGATGTACGGCACGTGCTGCTGTGGCTGCTGCTCCGAAAGTCGCTGAGACATTTCGCAGCCGCTCCATATGCCCTGGGCGCGGAGCAACGGCTCGCGTCGATATTTATGAAATTGCACGTTTATAAACAAACCCTCGCGGTGCCACAATCGGTCCGAACGGCATCGTGCACGATGCGTTATCTCTTGTGCTGCGACTATTTGCGAAACATCGAGACGAGGCATACAATTACGCGCATATTTTAATGCCCATTTGTGTGTACCTCTTAATGAGCTTCTCTAATAACGACGCCGTGAATGCGTACGACATCATTCACATCGAGTATAAACATTGATGCAGCCTTGGCCCCATGGCGCCTAACTCATATATTCTCACATACCTTCGCGTGTATCATGAGGCGCGTGGCATTTTATTTGTTATAGCTCCGACAAAGGTTTCTGGACTTGGTCTGGCCTCTTGAAACGCTATTAAAAATTCAATGTCATAATGTCTTTAATGGACAATTGTTTGAAATATCTCTTCGGTTGTTTTCTTTCCACGAGCAGAAACATTGACTATCTTCCAAAATAGTACCTTTTATTCTCTTAAAAAAATTTGACAATTCCCCGCGTTTATGACTGCGGGATACATTTACGCTTTACTGTTACATACCTACGTATATGAATATTGCATCAAAAGCGTCAGAATCCCTCGAAAGACGAGACGCAAAATTTATACTATATACATTCAAATTTATTCAAAGAGTAAAATTTTGTATAAAATTTCGTAATATTTGCAATATTTACGGGATCTCATTTTTTTTTCATTTTTCATTTTTAAACAAAATATGACTCTTACGTCGCTTCGTAGTTCCACGAAGAGGAGAAAAAAACGGCCTTTCGAGCGTATAGCAAAGCTAATTTGCTCAATTTTTTTTTTTTTCACAGACGAGGCGCAGGACCTGTGCGAGCACTCGGACGACGACTTGAAGCGACAGAGAAGCAGTTACAACGGCGATCAGCTATATCCAAATGTGAGTGTAACAACGCAATTTCGTCCTCATTTTATAATTTATAATAATAATAATAATAATAATCATATCATTAATCGACGTATACCATGTTGCTGGCATACATGTGTGTGTTCATTTTTCGCGCGTTATCTCCTTTCTATTTTTTTTTCCTCTCTCTATTATTTTTTTTCTTCGGTCATTATTATCTTTCATATTACGCCGGAAAAGAGTGTAGTATAGAGGAGTAGCAAAAGCAGCAGCAGCAGCAGCGTCAGAAAGGAAAAAGTTCTTCAGGTGGCACGAGCGAGCAGCAGCAGCAGCAGCAGCAGTATACGGTCGTATAATAATGAGGAGGTGAGTAGTTAGACCGCAAAGTGGATGTACCCATGCGCCGCCGTCGACGCGCGTCACGCCACAGCGCCGTACACGCGGCACACGAATAGAGGCTCTCCTCCTGGCGTGCTTTAGCTTTAGCTGCTCTGCTCTCCTCTGTATAAATGTGTGTGTGCGTGTACTGGTAGCAAATTCATATCAAAGTGGAAGATTGCGCTTCGTCCGCGTGTTATCGTTTGCGGGGGCCCCCGACGTGTCTTATACCTGCAGCCACTGGCGCGCGCGCACGAGCACGATGTACAGTAGAAGGTGGTGGCGGCGGCGGCGATGGCTGCGTGCGTGCACATCCTACCTCTCTCTCGACTGTACACAGAGCCGAGTTTTTCCGAGCGAAACCGCAAGAAAAGTAGCAGCGCGCGGCCCATACACGATGCACTCGTTGTACCATAATATACACAAAGAGAGAGAGAGAGATATCTATATACGATGAGCCGTGCGCGCATATTATAATGTGAGTTGCGCGCCTCTCGGCTCGACAGCTTTCGCGCCTGCCTCTCGCATGCAGCAGCGCAGCTTTGTGTTATATATAAACGCGAACACGCGCCCATATTTAGCATCCTTATTTATGTATGCGCGTGTGCCTCTCTTTTTCTCATATATTGCAATATAATATATCTGTATAAGTATACGAGGCGTGCTCGATTTTTAAAGGCCTCTTTACTAATCTCTCTCTCTCTCTTTCTTTCCATATCCATTCGCGCCATCGGACGAATCGAACCAACACCAACAGCTGTGGTCGAGCGGGAAATGGAGCATCAAGGACGAGCACAAGCTGCTCCACGAGCTCGGCGACGCGGCCGGCAACGGCGGCTCTGGGGGCAACGGCACCGGCAACGGACCCGGCAACAATAATCAACAGCAGCAGCAGCAGCAGCAACAACAGAACAACAATCAACAGCAGGGCACGACGGTGTATTACGAGCACGGCGGCTTCGGCACGGCGACGCCCGGCGGTCAGGTCAGCGCCTCGGAGCTGTACGACTCGCTGGGACCGATCGCCGCGGGCATGACCCAGTCGCAGACGTCGCATCTCTACACGCCGCCCATCGCCGCTACCCTGGGTCAGTATATCTCAAAGTTCGTTTGATTTTCACACACGTTTGCCACGTATATCCACGATATTCACCACACCACGCACAAATTTATATGTACGTTATTTATATGCACTGCTGTAATGATCGCAATCGATCGTGGATTTCGATACTTGGAACTCGATATGAAAAGTTCCTCACGCATACGCCACACCGCATCGCATTCTCTTCCTCCGGCCCATCGTGTGCTCGGCTATTAGGCAAATTCTCTCTCTCTCTGTTTGCGCTTTGCATTTTAAATTCAGCTATTTGGCGGGCAGTTTACACGCGCAGTTTTATATATTTTGTTGTTGTTGTTGGTCTCTCTTTGGCCAGTACCGAGAGGGGCCCAGCGATCGGTATAGTACCCACGATTCTAGTACGTATCCTTTAGCTGCGCACACACAGACACAACAAGTGATTTAGAATATATTACGATGTAAAGGAATACTCGGTACTGCATACGGCCTGGCAGCTAGCTCTATTACCGCTTCAACATTGGCCATTTAACAGACAGACAGAGAGAGAATATAATATTTGCAAAAAAATGCAAACACCGCCCGAAGTTAACGAGAATATATATACGTATCGAGCCAGAGAGAGAGAGAGAGAGAGAGAGAGAAAGATAAAAATATTGCTCGTAAATTCTATACGCTTCTTCTTCATCGCGCACTGCGGAGAAAAATTGGCTCTCACTCTCTCGCTCGTTTTGCTTGTAAAACGAGGTAATACTGCTGCTCGCGCTTGGCTCCCATGCGCTTTTTCTATTTTGCGCGTTGCGTTGCTCTCCGCACTGCTCTTTTATTTTTCCCTTGTTTATTATTGCCCTTTTACTTCGCCCACACGCACAAAAACACACGCACACATACCCGCGCACAGGTAAACACTCTAAAGTAACAATTTTTTTTTTTTTTTTTTTTTTTTTGACTAAACGACGATCTACTTTGAACCCATAATGCACGTATTACCACCGAACAAAGAGTACTTTAACTCGGACGTTTGAGGAAGGATAAGGAGGTGGCGGTGTCTTGGCGCACAGTAGTAGTGGTAGTAGTAGTAGCAGAGAAAGAGAGAGAATTTCTCGCTGTGGCCGTTCGCTGCCGAGCTTTGCGAAATTTGTACACCTAATTTGCATCCCTCTGATTTGTGTTGTGTGCAACTCGAGCCAAAGAGAGAGAGAGAGAGAAAAAAGTAAGCTTCTCTCTCACGGCCCTCGAGATACTTTTCCGTGCAGAATAGAGAGAGAGAAAGAGAACAAAAAAAAATCCGTCTCAAGTAGCTAACTTTTCGTAATGTATATATCCCTATTCCAGATTGGTCGTAACTCTTTTTCACTAATAGCACCCCCCTACCACTACTACTGCTACTAATCCATTTCCATCTTCTTACTTGCGCCTTTAAGGAGTTGGAGGAGATTTTCTCAGCAATTTACCTCTCTGGCTACTAGCTACTACTATTCGACGTGGAATTGCGTATCGTCGATGCGTTGCCTATATTATATACTGGGATAATATACCAGCGCCGGTGGTTTTCTGCTTTTCTTCCATTTATTATACACAAATACGCCTTGTATTTGCACTGAATCATCTCTCACGTTTCTCTATTGGATAATGTATGCGAAACTATTTGTAAATTAGGATCATTGGTTCTTGTAGTTTTATTTCGATGGGCAGTAGAATCGATAATCGCCGTTTTAAGAATGAAATACTAACGTAACAAACTAACAAATTTTATTAAAATAAATCCATTAATTTGGGAATCAAAATTGATTAACACATTTTCATATAAAAATCTCTGTAGATCATCCACCTCACTTGTATTCACTTAACGTTCATTATAATCATTGCGGTAAAAGAAATAAAAAAAATTACAACCTAATACAGAGCAACTTGATGGTTATTTGATGACAGGTGGTACTTTGACGCCCTTAACACCATTGACAATGCAAGAACTAAAATTGAGCCAGGCAATGGATGGAGCTAATATGTCTCCTTATCATAATACTGGTGAGTTGGCCACCTCTTCTGTTCATTTCGATGGGATCCCCCCTTGACCTTCACTCGTCGTATATATTTCCACTCTAGCATATATACACCACACAACATACGAAAAAAATCATATAGTTTTATAACGAATTCTCAAAACTGTAGCATGTGATCGATGCTGCTTTTTCATTATGCTTTCGCAATTAAGCAAGTACGAGTAATGAGAAAATTACCAACACAAGTATTCATCGTTGACACAGTACACACATGGAGCTTTTCTGTCAGAAAGAAGCGAAAATCTATGTAACTCGTATAGTACTTTGGATTTACGTAACAAATACTCGGAAAATTTCTATATACTCAAGAAAACAAGACGATACGTGTGTAGGTGCATACGTGAACACACAAAATGACGCTGGTATAATAACAATAATAATAAAAAAAAATATGCTGCACTACATAATATGATTCGAGATGTAAGTAACATAAGTCGCGTGTAACGTGAGTTCGGCTGTCACAACGTCACACAGACACACACACAACACACATCATAGTGCCTACGTATAAAATATGACAAAAAAAAATAACGTAATATCTGTTACGTCTCTCTCTCTCTCTCTCTCTGGTCTCTTCGTCGCTGGTCAACACACAGGCGAGAGCGGCAACGTGCCAGGTTCTTACGTGAGCGTGGGCCCGGGCGGCGATCAGAGCCCGCCCGTCAGCATGCAGAGCGACAGTCCGGCCGGAGGTGGCGGTGGAAGTACCGGTGCCGGTGGTGGTAACAGCGCCACGAGTTTGACGCAGCAGCAGCAGAACGTGGTCGAGCCGGGCCTGACGCTGCTCCAGCCGCCGGTGAGCCAGGGGCCGGCCCAGGGCGCCGCGGCGATTCCGCCCTACTCGAGCATGCTGCCGAGTTTCGGACACTACGCCAGCGGTGAGTATATCATAAATAAAAATTTTTTCGGGAGCCTAGAATACAATACATATTGAAAAAGATATCCGTTGTTTTTATTCTTAACTAACGGTCGATATACATAATATATTATTTATATTCTTCGCGCTCGAGTAAAAATATCAACCTGACCGAGAGGCGCTTTATAAAACATGATATAAAATACACTATCACCTGCAGCCGCGCGCGCGCAATGTCCCTTGTAATAGTTGTGCTTCTTCGATGCGATGTACTTTTTGCGCTCGCGAGTACGCGAACACAATGGCTGGTGCGGTATATATATATATATACGGTAGTACAAAGCCTAGACGACGCCTGGCAAAGAGATAGAAAGAGAGCGAATACCGGTCACACGATTCGCGCGATTCGAAACGCCAGCCGGGTGATCGAGCATTTTTTTTCTTTCGTCGCTGTGAAAATCGCCACACGATTTCGATGGGGTGGGTGACTTACATTTTTTTTTCTTTACTATATGTACCCTTGTACAACTGCGATGGTCACATTTTTAGACCCTCGTGCATATATAGATTGATCAATGGGTATAAATCGTTGCCTTAATTTCGATCAAAGGTCTTATTCTTGGTAGAAATGCTCAACATTTTATGGCTGGTTTTTGGCTGAAGAAAACTTCTTTAGCCAAGTTTCTTAGACTTGAGACGGTCATTGGAACTGGATATAACAAAAGTGTCACGTTTTTAAAAATATTTTATGGTTATTTTTTTTAATTACCATGTCACTGCGCACAATCTGACAACATCGATACACACGATGACACCAAACCAAAAACGCGATGTTATTTATACAATTATCTTTACTTTGTCACTTGCAGATTTACAGATAAATGTACCTCGCCATCTAGTGGCGAAGGGTTAAAGTAGTATTATCGTATTCAAAGCGGTCGAAAACTAATCTATGTTTTTTCAAACAATTGAATCGTCATTTTCGTGTCGTTGAAAATGCACTTGATATCTGTAACAAAAAAAAAATCGCCAAAAACAAGCCGATAAATCATTTCGAATGACAAGTTTTTGTCATTTCATTAATGTTGAGCATTTCATACATGATGAATTACAAAGTAGACGCTTTATCAAAAATAAAACACGAAGTCTTGATATCAACGTTATGACGCTAATCGATATGTTTTATGTGTGTGTTTTTTACCACAGGTGGCGCCAGCGACTACGCCTACAGCGCCGCCTACTCGCAGTACTCGGGCGCGACCTACGGTGGCTACGGTTATGGGGCAGCGACTAGCGGGTTGCTCAGTAAGTAAACAGTGAGTATGAGTATAAGAATAAACAAGGCAAAAAAAAAAAAAAAATGACGCGACAGTAATGCACCCCCGACCAATTAAATCCGTACCACTCCTGCATTGTCCTCGATTGTTGTATTACACTAGATGAATAAACGAATATCGCACCGATCCTATGTACAAACTTATACTCCTCGTCCTTATTTCTGTGAGAATATCGCGGGGTACACGAGCGAATTCGAGAGCGAAAGAGATCGAGTGAAAATGAGAATAATAGTAGAACAAAAAAAAATCATAAAATAAACGAGAGCACTCACTATACCGCAGACGATCGTCGTACATAATAACGATCATCGCAGCCGATCGAGAATAATCGATAGCTAAAGACGTCTGTCTTCTTTTTTTTGTTGTCGTTGCACGATCTATAGATTCGAGCTATTACTACAACGCAGCGGCGGCGGCAGCGGTAGCCTCTGACGCGCTGGCGACGACGACGACGACGACGACGTCGGCGATCGTAGCCGAACAAAGCGACGGCGGTGGTAGCCTCGAACAGCAGCAACTGCAGCACAGATTGAGCAGCAGCAGCAACACAGCAGCCATGGAGCAGCAGAGCGACGTCGCGAGCCGCTCGCCACTGGCGGCCACCCGTGCCAGCAGCGGTGCCAGCGCGGCCTCGCCCACGGGCAGCGCCTGCACTAAGCCTCAACAGCAGCAGCAGCTTCATCATCAGCAGCAGCATCAGCATCATCATCTACTGCAGCAGCCACATCCACAGCAGCAGCAGCAACATCAGTCGTTGCAACTGCAGCAGCAGCGCACTCCGACGGAACTGTACCTCGCCTGAGCCCAAGAAAATTCGTCACGTGTCAAATGGGCTGCTGGTGCAGATTTACAGATAGATAGATAGATAGATAGAGAGATGGCTGCAGCGGCACGCACACACACTGAACAAAAAAAACTCGTACTGATCTCGATTTTATTACGTTATCTTATCCTCCAAACTCCGACTAGTTTTTATTTTTATTATTATAATTATTTTTTTCTATAAACTCAATACCATGCGAGCATTCGAATACGCGCACACACACGGCGACGACGTTAATTAGTTCATTTAGATAGGTCAATTTCTTTTTATGTATACACAAATCGAATGACACCGAATCGTCCAAAGCTTTTTTTATGTGTACTTTGTTTTACTTTTACTTTGTGTCATTCGATGAAGAACGATAAACTGAGATAGATACCGAAGCTGTACGTTGTAAAAAGGTATAAAGACGAGGAAATCGTATATAATACCGTTTTATCGTCGGACTGGAGCAGCGAAGGCATTTACAAATGTTTCTTATTATTCAAACGAGTGAATTTTTAGTGCAAGAGATTGGTTGACATTGCAACGAAACGACTGCTTGAATTCGAATTCGTAAATCAATTATCAATATTATCAACTTTTCCTATTCGTCGCTCCAGTCCGTGAGCTATATCGACCTTGCTTCGCGTATTTTTATCTCAATTTTGTATCGTGTGCTCGCATCGATTGACGATATACGTATACCGAACAAAGATTCTTTAGCTTCGTCTTCCTTTTGGACATCGCGACACGTAATTAATTTCTTTTCGCAAAAAATTATCGCAGTCGATCATTATTCGTCCCCTGCTGGCAAGTATATTGCGCCTCTCTCGCCAACGCGACGTCGTACAAAAAGCATGCACTGATTGTTCTCGTGACCCTTGGTCTGTCTCTCTCTCACTTGGCTAACACAGACGAAATGAAACAGATTCCCATGACAGCAAGTGGGACACACGCACACACGTATAGGTATTTAGCCCCAGCCTCCTCTTCTTTCTCGAAACTACCCGTCGTCGTCGTAGAGAGCTATTTCGAGCGCATTTGAGAAATCACAGTGTGCACGCGCAAATCCGAGGGAAATCTCCCGAGACAGAGACAGAGAGAGGGTCATTACTCATTAAAGCGCGAGCGATAGCGCAAAAGTCGAGTAAAATTAAGAATTCGAGAAAATAGTCGTATGCAGCTATATAACCAATTAGAAGTTTGCGAAAACCTTGACTTTATCTGAGGCACATATCTGTATCGATTACTCACGTAATACGCACGCGGGGAGAGCGCAATATACATGCTCTGCATGCAGGGTATTGCATTCGAAAAATGACAAGTAGCGCTCGTACGATTTCAAAACTTGCATACATATTTTAAAAGTGGATTACCAAGTAATCTGAAAATAAATATTAAAAAAAGAAAAGAAAGGAAAAGGAGCAGAGCTAAAGGGCCCTCGTATATATTTTAAGTGGGATACAAAGTAACCTGAAAATAAATTATAGGAAGGAGCCGTGTCGAATACACTTCCACTGCGACTCGCGACACGAGTGTTCGCGCGCGCGGCAAACACGATCGCGAGCGATAAGAAAGAAAATATTATACTGTAAATAAATGAATTTTTTTTTTATCGACGGGTTCATTCGAGCCCAATTAAGACTTTCTAAGCGCGGCTGGGAGAAGATAAAGAAAAATAATACAGAATCACACGACCTTGTATAACTTGTTAAGGATATTATATTTTTTGTAGGAAAAAACCAAAGACCACATCAATGTGACAAAAATCTTACGAAGAAAAAATATTATACATGTATAAATTAGAAGCGAGGATACAAAAAAAAAAATTTAAACAAATATTATATTGATGATTTTATCGATTATATAAATGATAAGTATACACACACACGCAGAGATATGTAATAATCAAGTTTTTAAATACGAATCCTGAATGACGCGAGTGAACGGTTGCGGGAGAGAGGCAAAACGAAAAGGCATGATATATGAGATTTCTTTTTGCGTACATTTTTTTTTGGTATACAACGTGCGCGCCCTGTCGCGTGCAGGGCCACGATGTGTTTTTCAAATGTACATAATTGTGTATTATATTTGAATACAATTTAGATCATCACGTTATACCGTAATGAAGCGTATGATTAAGATGAATTATTTATTTATTAGTGTCCATGAGAGGTGTTACGAGAATGACAAAAGAAAAAAGATGATGATATTGTTTCGGTCCTTCGCTGCGACGAACACGTTGCACGACAATTTTTGTGTATCTCAAAAAAATAAAAAAACAACTACAAAAGTTGGATGAATCACGTAATAGAACAGAGTACTTGCACTGAAAAAGGAGTACTTAATTATTAGCTTCGATATACCAAATAAAAAGGGAGTCGATCTCGATTCCTGAAAAAAGCAGAAAAAATTATATTATATAGATTGGCTATATGTGTTCAAGTGAGTTCTACCTAAGAATGCAAGAATGGACTTGTATATGAATTAAATTAGTCTCTATTCAATGACGACCAAATTTTTTACTTATTTCATAATCGTTATGCAATTTAAGTATTGACTAAAAAGTATTCGCACAGACAAAGATAGGCACAATTATTATTATTATTATTATATTTATTATTATTATTATCATTATAATTATTATTATGCCCTTGAAATAATTAAAACTTCTACTTTAGACTGACATTGATGAATTTCAACGTATATGATTTCGAGGGCATTTATATTAGTTTATTAAAAAAAAATGTTATTTGTAAGTATTATATCGTAGAAACGCACAGTTGAAATTATTTTGTTAATCATATCTTATGATCTGATATTAGTTTATAGTGATAAGTAACTTCATCATTGAGATGAAATTATGCGCAATTCGCGGACTTGAAAAAAAAAACAAGCAAAAAAAATACTTAAACTCAAATAGTCCTCCAGTTGATTCATTACTTTTGACTATCGCATCGTACTTAAGTTAAACTTTACTTTCCAAGTACTTACGTTGAGGACTGACGATTAAAAGTTGCATTTAGTCCTCGTGCAATTTCATAAGTTTGTATTTTCGATATTACATTTTATTGATGATGTTATTTTCTTCTACTCCATAAATGCAATAATTGTGACGAAAAAGATTACGATGACATTTTATTATTATACTTGTATATTATCATCACCGCTTTATTATTATCATCATTATATCATTATTTTTATCATTATAATTATTTATACTGCTAATTTCAATAACTGAAAATCATGATCACCAACTCTCGTCGTCGTCTTCATCAAATGTAATGATTGTTATGATACATATCATTACTGTTACAATTAACGATTTTTATATAATTTTTTTGTTGTAAGGCATGAATATTTCTACTATACAATCTGACATCATCACATTTTGCGCGACCAACAACATTTTAAACAGAAGATCAATGAGCGTGTAAATTAGTTTTACCAAAGAAACGTTTGAAAGGAAGCTTTCAACGATCGTTGAATTGAATAAGTTCATAAAAAAGAAGAAAAAACAATGAAACATCACAAGTATAGCTTTGTAATCTCTCTCAGCTCTCTAAACATACAATTGAAAATATTAGCTAATTTTAAAGATGTTGATTCAAAATGATATCGCTGACGGAAATAGTCTTATGGCATTTAATACTTTTAGTTATTAAAATGGAGAAAAATATTTTACTTAATCATAATTGCCAATTTTTTAGTTGATTTTTTTTTTACTGAAATGATTAACGTATATTTCAAGTCCATTTTATTTGACTGTGTGATATTCTTGTTCCAAGCGTTATTATTTATGAATAACGCCGTTGATACTTATAAAAACTTGTAAATCCTTTTTTAAATAAAATATGGGGTTTATATAGATTGTACCTTTTTTTCATTTCTCCTCCTCAATCAATTTTCATAAAACCCGAAGACTCCCATCCTGGAATTGTAATTCATGAATATTAGCTTGCTTTGACTTATTTTGAAGGAATTCATTATTTTCGAGGCAACCCTAAAAAGTATGACCATATTTGTGTAAGAACATAAAGCAGTCGAGAATCTATGAAAAGCCCGAAGAGACTATTTTTAAGCGGGAAATTATCTCTCTACCTCCCAACGCAAACCAGACCGTAAATAGCTTTTAGCTTGCTGCACTTTGTCCATTTAAGGTGTTAGTCGTAAGTACGCGTAGCATCGCATTAATTATCAGAAATATGCAGTTTTTATTATGAATGACTTCGCATTAGTAGCGCAACTATTCTGGCCCACATACGTGATTACTCATTTGTACAAATTATAACTGAAACATTAAAGATACGATTAAAGATGTAATGCATTAAAACCCAGTCTACACGAGTCTGTGCTAATTTTTTTCACTCACTTTCACGCAGCACTAAGAAAGCGTTAATCTTATCAAGAGTAAAATTTAATCTTATTAATATAAAATGATATAATAATTTAACTTCATTCAATTAAAATTGTTGCATTTCGTGCGTTTTTTAATTTTCTGATCCTGGTGTGACTGAATTAGATTTGGATTTGTACGTTTGCTAACATTAAATATGAGCAGTATTTTAAAATTATCAGACTTTTTTGATGACGTTTTTCAATAAAATAAGCGATAAAATAGACGTATCACCGTAATATTTATTCAACCACATTTATGCAATTATAATGTGAAAAAAACATAAGCGTTACATTCTTTTGTTTAAGATCTTTAAGTTCAGAAATAAAAACGATGACCAAAAAGTGGACCACAATAAAAAATGTCTAGCTGCTATGAAATATCGTTAATGTTTATCTTTTAGAAAGTTTGTAATTAAAATTAAAATAATGATAGTTATTGTACTCTAAAAGCCCCTCAATGGTCAGGGCACGAACTAAATTAAAATGCTGTTTTACCCAAATTATTTGACACAAGATACACTCGCTGTCGGTAATATAGAAATCATCGAATCAGTGGCCGGGGTTTAACCATTACTTGATCACGTAACAATTTACCCTTTAGGTTTTAATGAAGATAAGGGCTTATATGGATTGACTTATCCTCAACGAATCATTTATCAGCATAATTGAAAATATTCCAGATATAAAGATATTTTTTTGCAAAACGTTTTTACGTAAGTTTATTTGAATGAATGAAGTTGAATATGCTTTTATGAATTTCTTACAAATAATTTAACGGTGCTTTCAATAAGAATGGACGTTAGAATAACTTGAATTACATTCTTTTTTTTCAAATTCTTTATTTATTTATGATGGCTAAAGAACCCAACCATTTTAACCAGCAAATATTAACCTTATAAACATTATATCATTAGACATTTATTTTGTACTACAGTATTGTATACTGTGAATTATTTTTTATAAACATAACTTTCCGCTCCGCCCCTTCCGAAACCTGCAAGAAAACAAATGAGCGATTAAAAAACTGTATAAAATTAAAATTTTTATAGATTTCTATGAATATTTTGATGACGTATTTTTAGTAAACTACCTAACTAACGGCTAATATGTTCAACTACTTTACCCTAGCGATGTATGAATCAATAATTTTTATCTACATGTATTAATTGCACATAACTACTGCAGCAATGATTAAATTTTCCATATTTTACCTTGGTGCAAAAACTTATTAACTGAACCAAATTAATTCTCTTATTTCATCCTTTTGAACTATCAATCAATTTTGAAAGAAAAAGTTAACACGAAAGGAATAAACCATAATATGTAATTTAATCAGTTTTAAACATTTCCACAGAAACATTTTCTAAAAAGTCTCTTTATTCTTTGCTCATCGGTTGCATCCAGTAAATTTTTATCGAAAAGTGATACGCAACAACACCCACTTGTAGCTTCTATCTCCGAATACACTCGTATTCGTCAGTAGTACGACCTATAAACTACGATCTCAACGTTGTCGATCAAAAATTTATAAAATATATCGATGTTTTCATTGCTATATCGTGCTTACCTCCGGGGCCAAATAATGCCGAATAGCATGGATTATTGCAGTACGGTTTGCCCTCATGCTCGGCGTGGCTGCCTGGATTCAGAGTTTTGTTGCATTTCTCGCACCTCAAGCACGCCCCGTGCCAATCCTTGCCCAAAGACGTTTTTCTTTCGGCTGTAATTGGAAAAATTTTTTGTTTTCAAAAGATTCACGGCTAGTGTAAAATTTACTCTTTGCGGAAAACAATGAGTTCGATCTTGCACGATCGATGATTTTTTTTTTCGATTAACACCTTTTTTTCTTACGACTGAAATTCAATCTCGTTCTCCTCTCGACGACCACAAGCGTGACTCGACAGGTTTTCTCATTATTTTTTAATAACTTTTCCGAACTATCGTGTATCATCGTGTTTGATTCAAGACAATATGCGTACCGAGAGAGAGAGAGAGAACGTAATTTGCTCGTAACGCACGAAATAGACTCTAGAACGTTGTACACGATATACGCACGCACTTACTGTACAGGACGAAATTAAATTTCGTCCGAACAGCTGCAGGAGAGATAGAAGCCGCGTTTGAAGATGCAAGACGCATTGCGCATTATCTGCGGCAATCGAATTAAGGCGGCGCTCGTACGTACGTACGTACGTGTTTGTTGACCAAACTATTGCTAAGGAGGCGACCCTTATAACAAGAGGAGAGAGAGAGAGAGAGAGACATTATATGCCGTAATACCTCACTAGACTTGAGTGGTGGTGCTCGTATATAGACGAGGCACTATTATTCAATGAATCTGACGTATAATTAGTAATTACCTATGAGGTAAGCAGGTGGCTAATGAACGCTCGGACGATATACCGATATTCTCCCAAGTTAACGAAAATTCGATCGATGCTCGATAATTAATTTACGACCGCTAAAGTTATATTTCTTTCGATTCATAACGATCTGCGCGCGTGCAACTGTGCGAACGAAAAAAAGAATAATTTTTTCATCTTCGTCGCCGCCGCGTATACCACAACAATGTGTTAACTTCACAGTTCGACTGCAAACACTAGTAGTAGGCTATAGGATTCAAGGAGAAACGGCATAATAATAATAGCGCCACGTCTACATTTAACGATTACAAATCGCGCGAATACCTATGTCATCGCGTGGACGAAAAAAAAAAACAACAAACGATAATAACTTCGATAATGTAATCGGTACGAGGATCGAAAGTTCTAGAAAACTAGATATTAGCGTGAAAATTAAAGCTTATAATATGATGACGTTGTTTACCAAAGTACACGGGCTTGTCGCATTTCGGGCAGTTGGGCATGATGATGACGATGATGCTCGCGTGTGTTATGTGTTATGTGTCGATCGACCGGCCGGACGAAGCTAACTGCGGCTACACTGCACTTGGATATCGAAAAATTTTCAGCGAAGAGTCTGCCTCGAGAGAGACGCGCGAGCACGTTGCCCGTTTCAGCGGCAGCAGGTGTATATATAATGTATATATTTCGCGAATGTGATGGTGCGTCCGAACGCCAACTGAACCGCGCGCCGACTATAAGGCTTCCTATAGCAGCGATTATTCTTTTCTCAATCACGCTTTGTCTCTCTCTCCTTTTTGCACATGTATGCTCCCTCTTTCTCATTCGCTGCTGCTGCTGCTGCTCACCTTTTAAATCTCGTTCGCAAGAGAGACCTACATCGCGCGCCGCGAGCCGCCGCACTATATATCGCGAGTGTGTGTGTGTCTACAGTGCGTGAGCCTGTATATGTTTACAGAGGCAGAGTATCGATTTTATGAAATAAACACACGCGCGAATACAATTTATAGAAAGAGAGGACATGTGATCTTCTGATTTCTAGAACCGATATATAACTACCACTGCCTCGAAACAAAAACAAGATCATTTATTCAAGGATACGAGCACGATGAATCGGCCGTATATGAATGATTAGCGAATATACGTACGCCTGTGGCCGTGTGTTTTGAAACTATTCGGAGTTATGATGTCATCTGAATCTTGTCGAAGATGATTTCATGTTTATATATCGAAGTTGTGTGTGCATCGTCTTGGAGCTTCATCCCGAGCGATTGAACTTTGAACTAGCTTGAAAGTTGCTGAAAAGATGTCCTTTGAAAGTTATGGATTTGAAATTTCATCACAATATCATATGGATATTGCAGAAATTTTCTGCGAATCGATGGAGCTTCATCAAAGGATAAATGATAAAAAGTATAGTACAATACAGTGCAGATTAAAAATGATAGGACGAGGAGACGGAACTTTTCTACGATTAAAAAATTGTATTTAAAACAAAAGATAAACATTTTTCAGAATCTATAAGAAGAATTTAAAGTTTCTAAACGTCCTTATTAAATTTCAAGCAGTTTTGGTTCGCTAAGAGTTTTCTTAAAGTCAGTACATGGCTGTACATAGTTTATTTAACAATGACTTGTATTGTTGTATTAAATCACGAATGCAAATATTTTGAAAAATTAGGTCCAAGGCCTATTCGATCAGAAAAAGAAGTATTTACTCGAAATCTTACCTTGTCAGGTGGTATCTTATTGGTGTGTAGAGTCTTCCCAACGCAGGCCTGGATATCATTTAGTCTTTTAAAAAATCAAAAAAGTTTAAACTATTTTGATTTTACACCTCATCTATTTCAATGAGCTACGATTTTTTTTACACTTATGTCATGATTAAAATATTGAAGAACGTAATTCAAAATTGTGTACTGAAAAATGTTTAGTTATTCGTTTATTTTACCTGTATGAAATCCTCTTTTAAAAACTGATTTTGCTGAATAGACGTAAGTAGCGAAACAAGCAGAATTGAATAAAACATTATCAACATAATGGGTTCAACATTTTATTAGCTTTACAATTAAACATTATCTTTATATTATCTTCCAAAAATTTATTGATCGTTTTAAAACTTGAATATTGTTTTTACATATTGGGATAATACAAGAGAAACTTATGATAATATTATCAATAATACGTTCATCAAGTTAATATGCGTGACTGTTGCACCAAATATCTCATGTGTGTTCGACACTACTATGTTTTTCCTTCGTGTGTTTTTTGAAATTATCCTTCCTTTTAAATGTCTTTTCGCAAATATCACATGCATATGTGAGACCATTATGCACCGCATCGACGTGAATTATTAAATTATGTTTTTGCTTGAATGTCTTTGAGCACATACCGCATGCATATGTGAGACCATTATGCATCGCATCGATGTGGATTTTTAAATTATGTTTTTGCGTGAATGTCTTTGAGCATATACCGCATGCATATATGAGACCATTATGCACCGTATCGATGTGGATTTTTAAATTATATTTTTGCTTGAATGTCTTTGAGCATATACCGCATGCGTGGGTGATACCATTATGTATTGTATCTCTGTGGAATTTTACACTTCTTTTACTTGTAAATGCTTTACCGCATATATCACATATATGTTTGGTACCATTATGCACCAAATCGGCGTGGTCCCTGAGATAAAACTTACTTGAGAATGTCTTTCCACAGGTACCACAAGGATGAGAGATTTTATTATGCACCGAATCGACGTGATTTTTGAGATGAGCTTTTTGCTTGAAGGTCTTTGCGCATATGCCGCACGTCGTTCGGACACCGTTATGCACCGAATCGACGTGGTTTTTGAGATAATACTTAGTTGTGAATATCTTTTGGCATAAATCACACACATATTTGACACCGTTATGCATCGAATCCGTGTGGTTCTTGAGATAATACTTACATGTGAATGTCTTTCCACACGTATCACAAGGATGAGAGATTTTATTATGCAACGCATCGATGTGGGTTTTGAGATTAACTTTGTGTTTAAATGTTTTTCCACATGTGTCACACCTGTGGATGCTACAACGGCTACTGTGTGTATTTAGCCTCTGTTCACCGTTAGCCCTTTTTACGAGTTTAGAGTCGAAATTCACATTCGGTTCTTCCGCGGCGCCACTTGGTATTTCTTGTTTCACCTCCTCCATGAGTTCCACTTTAATTGCGTTTAGAGTTTTGTCATCTGTATCTTTCATATGCCGCAAGTGATTTGGAGAACAATCCTCAATTTTCTGAACTAATAGTAAATCTACTTTGGGCTTGACATCTTCACATTCAACAACTATTTCTACGTCGTCATCGAGTCTACTTCCAGGATTGAAATCAGATTTTTGAAGCGTCTGGGCCTATAGAAAAATTAAATAAGAGTAACACATAAGCATACTACGATTCACATAAGTAGAATTGACACTTACTGAATTTTCTTGCGGAAATGGTAAGAGTTGAAAGTTTTTAAGGTCGGGTTTCTCGTCAATCATTCCACTATTTTGTTCAGTAAGCGACCCATCACTAGGCTCTTCTTTCACCCTAAAATAACCCCAATTGAGTCTTGTATTTTTTTGTAAAACATTTTTTTCTTTTTTAAAAAAATGAAGATTACCTGATGGCGCAGTTGAATAAATCACTGGATTCCATCTTTATCAGTTGTAGTTTGAATAACAATTGATCTTTCTATTAACTTATGCACGGGAAAATTGGTAAAGAGCACATGGAGCTGTTTTCACTGAATCGCTTATCTCTCATCGCATGTGTGACCTCTCTGTGCGGGTTGCCCGACGTGTGGTGTTCTGCCGTGCTAGTTTACACAGAGGACTGCTAATAGGGAGCTGATCACGCACAAACTTCGACAAGACGCAGTTTTTCAAAATATCCGGCGATATCTGCTCAGTAATTTTCGCCAGTGTTTTGGAATTTGATCGAAGTAGCCCCATCTAACGCGATTCACATGACCAACAATTACTCGTTGTTCAGGTAATCATAAGAAACTTACTTATGATGGATTTTTTTACGAATTGAATGAAATTGATGGGGACATGCGATATTTAAAATGCATTCTGTTACTTATTTTATTCATTTTTAGAGATTAAACAGATTATTACTGCTAATTTTCCTAAATTAGAGATACCTAAACTAATCCCTAGTTTTTGATGCGAGACTAATTCGCTTGACAATTAGCCATTTGATGGAAAATATTGAACTTTGATAAGTCAATGGTTGAGACAAAAAGTAGTATGATCCACTTAACACGAACATTACATAATATTGGTTTCCAAATTATTCCACGTTACTTCGATATGAAATATATTAGATGTCGTAGGAATTATAAAATAGCCTACTTTTAAGGTATTTTTAAACCCCCCTGAATTATACAGCTTTTTTCAAGCGTGAAATGATTTTATCTGTGTATAAAAAATCTTGTAACAACTTATGAAATATTGTATTTCAATGAATCTCAGATATTTTCTTAGTTTCGTGTTGAACATTATTGGTACTTCAGTTACCTAATTAGTCGAAATGCATAAGTTGTATCTTTTGCTGCGATTTCTACCACTTATATAATATTTTTTTGACAAAAAAACAAATTAATGAAATAAATGAAAAAATTAGTCACGATCGCGGAAAAGTATCATAGCTGGTGTACGAATATATGAAGGAAATTTAAAGTCGACTGGCCGAGACGATAACGAACTCGGTAGGATCAGGGGATTAGGATAACTCTATGTGACCGACGTTAATTAAACTTTTTTCGAGTGAACTGCAGATCTGTCTCGTGAATTTCATATATTGATGAAAAATTCATAACAAATCTCTAAGCAGGACAATAAAAATACCAACAAGTATAATAACAAAATTAAACAAGGTAATATCTTTACGTTGGTCGGTAAGAAAGCTCACGACCTCGTGCGGAAGCAGCACTTGTCAAATACGCTATCGTTCCTCACTACATTGCACTACAGTCACGATCCACAACTACAGATGGCACAACGTCAATGGAAACATCGCGCCGGACCTCAGTTACATAATAATTATCAATCTTTGAATGTTTTATTTATAACATGGTATTTTTAATACTATGTTTCTGATAATTTCTTATCGATGATCGATTACACCTGATTTATGCATAAAAATAAAAAATTGAAAAGTTTGATGTATCGAAACAAAGCGTTATCCAATTTTCAAGTACTTTGTTTCCAGAAAATCGAGCTGATAAATAGTTGAGAAGATAAATGAAAAGACATGCTCATTTTTTCTTTTTTTTCTTATACTGTTGCAGGAATTTTAAATATTATATCAAGAGACGCGTTAGCGCCTTGTCGACAGAGTGTATTATTTACATCTTATGTGAATGAGCTCGGAAATGTTTTTTCATGAATCTATCAATATGTTTATTTCTATTTTTATTGTTACGCTTAAAAAAAATTATTCTTTTCAGATAAGTCTATTAATATTCTGTCACGAATTATAAATCGATATCCGGTAAAAAAATTTGATTTAAATTGTATTTAAATTTATGAAAAAAAAAGTAGGCTTTTTATTAACATCATTACTGATTGTAACTTTTTACTGATTTCATTATTCAATTAGTTTTCACGTATTCATGACTACAAAATTTCTCTTCTTAACAGTGATTTTTAAATTATTCTAATGGGTAGAAATGAAAATATTACAAAAACTTAGTTTGAAATTTTCAAAATATATTTCAAAAAACTTTCGTTACGAAAAGACAGGGAAGATGCAGTTCTCTTTCCTGAACGAAGTAATTAAGAAAAAACAAAAGTTAAAGATGAAATTCATTTTCACTTTCAACCTGGTCGCGCACCCCGTGCTGGACAATACTATACTCAATCATGTCACATTGAATTTTTTGGAAAAAAAACTAAAGAAACAGTGACGCATGTCAATCTTTAGTACAGCTGCACCTGCGCCTTTCTATTGCTTATAAATAGAAACAAAAGGAAAAAGAAGATCTTCTTCGTCATTTTAATTTCAGTCATTTTACATATTAACGTACTCATTATGTTGCAAATGCGTGTGAATTTTGATTTTTTTTTAAATTAGTCTCAAGAGTTATGAAAAATTGTTCTCATTACTATGAAAGAGGCGAGGAAGTTGACTTCAATATAAAAAAAACATGTCATTTTCACTCGTACTCAAATTAAATTCATTATTAAATTCAAATCAAAAGTGTATTTCGAGTATCGCGAGGCAATATTCTTTCACCTCTTACTAAACGACCGAGTCAAGTGGTTTCTCAAATCGGAATGACACCTGCATATATTGAATCGAGTCACGCGTCAGAGCCTAGCTAAGCATCTCAACTCTTAAGTAGTTGAATATCTCGAATAGTCGTACAGCACCTGTTCCTCCTCCCCCCGGCAATGCGTAAAATCACCGCCACTATAATACGGATTATTATTTAAGATGTAGGAAAGAACAGAAAATAAAAATCGGAAGTGCAATTAAGGGCGACACTGTGCAGTAACGTGGCGCCTGCAGCTAGTGTATTATACACTAGCATATACGACTATAAACCGCAAAATGTGTCTATACGGTCTCTATATTATACAGCTTTAGAGCAAACAACGTGTCATGGAGGCTTGCGCTGCGGAGCGCGCGAGCGAACGGCGCGAGTTCCGAAAAATCTCGGGCACGCGTTTAACTCATAATATGATTCGACGCTTTTTTCGACAGATAGAGAGAGAGAGAGAGGGACGCTCCAATTACCAGGAAAGTAAATAAAGTTGGTAAACATAATTTGGATTTGTTGGATTGTGCATATGTTCACATTAACTCGTGTATGTATAACTGAAAAGTAGTTAAGGAGTTCGATAGACATTTATAATAGCAACGGCTAAGATCGTTGCATGTGCGTGTAGATCAAAGTACACATAAAACTTCTTCGTCGGCCGAGCGCTATATACAATATAAAACTAAAAAAAAAAAAAATACACACACATATACAGTCCGAGATGTATACTTATACATACAGTGGTGTGCACTAAGCAGAGTCGCGTGAACGAACGCGGTGCGAACCCGACGCGCCGCCGCTTGCTGCACAGACTCCGAAGTCGACCCGCGTCCGTGTGTATAAATATGTGTGAACGTGTGTGCGTGTGTGAGTGTGTCTGTATATACGCAGCGGCGCGCAGAGCCACTACAAGGTACAGCGGTGATTGGTCGACGCGTGGGAGAGCCGCCCGCCTGGCGCGCACACACACACGCACACGCGCACACGCAGAGACAGACGCGGCCGTCCAAGTATAGTATGTATGCATACGGTAGTGTAGTGGTGCTGGTGCTGTGCGAGAACTGCGAAAGCGAGAGAGAGAGAGAGAGAGAGCGAGAGCAGCGGCGGTGGCTAGGCGGCGCGAGGCACAGCGAGGCGCAGACAACAACCGAGCGCGCCGGCAGTGTCGAGAGAATCACACGCGAGCGAGGTTGCCGCTGCACGTCGCCGCACACACACACACACACACACACTCGTATTCGTATTTTATAATAATATATAAAATACACACAATACGCACTCACGTCGCCTCACAGAATATATAAGCACTGACACTAAGCGCGCGCGCGCGAAAAAAAAGAGATAGTGCGGATCATTGTTATTATATATATAAACAAGCGCGACACGCATTTGACGCGTAGCCGCATTTCGTTATATGTGTATCATTGTTGTTGATTATTATTATGATATGCGACTGACTGTATAACAACGGAGCGATCGTAATAATATTTATTATAAATATAACTTGCAACAACGCGCAGCAGCAGCAGCGCGCGCAGTGTGTGTTTTTGTGGCCTGTCCGTGTGTGTGTATCATTACGATGCGGTGATCGTTTTTCTGTGTAACAACAACAACGACATTCGCCAAAGAGAGAGAGAGTAGTGCGAAAAAAAGAGGAGCATCGACATCATCGGCACGTGCCGATTTTTTTTTGCGTTGCCTCGTCTCTCCGCAGTGCAATAATATCGTCGTCGGACGTCGTGTTTTATTTGTTTATAATATAATATTTGTTTTTCGAGGAGAGAGAGAAGACAAGTGTGACCCCCCGCGTGTGTGCGCGAGTGTGCCCGACGAGACAAGCAGCAGCACATATGTATTATTTACATATATTTCATGCATCGAAATAATCATCATCATCATCATCGCGAACGAGCAATACATTATTTATTTATTACAAAGTGAAGAAATGACGGCTACGGCATCGAGCTCGGCTACGCCAGCAGCAGCAGCGGTAACGACATTGGCAGCAACAACGACGACAGTCGCGGCACCGACAGTCGTAGACCGGCGTCTTCTTCGCGATCGATGCCTCCGTGGAGTCGGGGCCGCCGCGCCGGTGCAGGCCCCCGTCAGCCAGATTATTAACGCGCACTAAGTCTCAGTGCGTGTGTGATATTTATTTATGATATAATAGAAAAAATATTATATTGTAAAGGAGAAAAGAAGTATATATCAAATTCGGTGCGCGTGTGTTGTGTTGCAGAATTTCTAGAGAGAGTATATCAAGTGCGCGAGAATACATAATATTTCGTCGGTGATTTTACGTGATATATTATATATTTATTAAAAAAGAATCGTGTGTAACTTGTGTTATTGCAACTAGCCCAGCCCCCCCACTTGTTCAGTTGTTGTCAGTTGGTTTTTGTTTGAAAGTTCTTTTTTTAGTTGGTTTTTTTTTTTGAGTTGGTTTTGGTTTGAGTTTTGATTTTGTTCGCGCGCCCGCCGCTTTTCCGAACGGAAAAAGAAGCGAGAGGAAGAGGAACGAACAGCGGTCGAAGAGAGAGAGCTTGGACTCACAAGCTCCCACAACGGAATCCAAGATGCCGCACGTCAGCAGCAGCGGCGGCGGCGGAGACGACCTCGGCAGCGAGGACGAGGTCAAAGTCTTCAAGGACGAGGGCGAGGACGAGAAGCGCTCGTCGGAGAACTTGACCGAGGAGAAGAGCTCCCTCATCGATCTCACCGAGTCGGAGGTGCTTATCCTGCGTTCTTTTACGCGCAAGAGTCACAACACGCCCACACGCTTTTCTTCCTCTTGGCTCCGATCCGATCCGATGATAGGGTTATGATCCTCTCCATCACCAATCTATCCATCCACGTTCATCATGGGCCTCGTGCGACTGCTTTGGAGATTGCAGCCTGGAGATACTTGAGCGCGAAACGTCAAGCGTAAAATGATATAAAATAAAAGCCGACATCTTCAGGGCAGTCGAACGTCGCCGACCGAAGATAGTGACCCGCGTAACAATCTCCCCGAATCAAAGTGCGATTATCCTCTACGTTGTGCCTATAATGTGTGTTGCAGGAAAAAGTATCTCTCGCCGGTGGTGGCTACGGACCAAAATCGTCGTCGAGATCGGACCTCAGTCCAGTCTTCGGTGAGTTGTCGAATTTTTCTGTCATAATCTCCGTAACGTACTTTTCCATACATACGTGACATTCCTCGCCGCTTCGATCGATCATATTTATAATAAGCTCGCCTTATATATTACTTCATTAGTGCGGTCAGTTACATATTAAATTCAAAAATGAAAAAATGAATTCCTAATTCGACGAGCCGTGTGGTAGTTGTTTGTTGTTATATTTTGTTTTTCGCGCGAACGTCGATCCTTTTCCTCGAGTCGCGAACAATTTCATAACTGATAAAATAACCGGTAACGCGTTCGAAAAGATTTACATTTCGTCGACTCCGAAACGTAAGTGTCGCGAATTCCAAAAATTGATGCGCCGTCGTCGTCGTGATCGTCGTCTCTCGACTTGTGTCTCTGCTGTCCGTGTGTGTATATGCGCGCGCATACTACACAGAATTCTCCGTCTCTCTTTAGCCGAATATTTTGCACTTGTGTGTCCACTTGTATACTTGCGCGTGTATGTGTGTGTAGTTCGCTGCTCGACTTGTCAAGCACATAACATCATCGCGCGCACATACACGCATCAGCAGCAGCAGCAGCAGCAGCGGACAGAGAGACATGACGTTACTCGCGCTGACACGCACGCATTATACGGTTAGGTGGCCGAAACTCGGGCGCGCGCGTATGTATACGCCGAATAACTTCAGGTATATACGTGTATTATGAGTAAAAGGCCAAAATAATGTAAGCTAACGCACGCAACGTATCTATCTCGTGCGCGCGTGTATGTGTACGCTCGAAAAAGAAGAAAGTTCAGTGGCATCAATTTTTCATCGCGTACTCCGTGCGACGCTGCTCCGTTTTTCTCGTTACAGCATCTCTCTCGTCTCACGTTTTTAGCTTTAAAACAATATTATGTATACATATTCTCTCGCTTCTGCTCTACGTGTAAATATACCATACTACTACCACACGCGTTTCTCTCGATTCTCATCATCTCGTCGTCGTCGTTGAGGCATGTCTTTTCTCTCTCGATGCTTCAACTACGTTCTCGATAATCATCGTGATGTACCTTTCGCGCGAAACATATTCGCGCGCCGTGCAAAATACGTATACATCATAAAGTTGTGCAGTGCTGCCTGCCTGACTATCTATAAATATAACGCACCGACTCAGAGAGAGAAAGAGGCAAATGCTTATCCGAATGCAGTTTGATACCGCATACTCGACACAACTATGGCGGGTGTGTGCAGTAGCATATAGAAAACATGCTTCGCTGCAATCCTCCATAGAGTCTCTCGCAGTGCTGCTGCTGCTATAATACGCGCGCACTGGCCACCGGCCAGTTGCCAGTCGACACTTGCCACCGACAAAAGTCTATATGTATATTTATGCGTTTTCTATGTATGTGTGTGTGTGTGCGTAAGCCGCGAGCCGAGCAAACGAACGAGTCGAGTCGAGTCAAGTTGAGAGAGAGAGACTATATCACTATATTTATAACGATGGTTTGTCAGTCTTAGGCCAGCGCGGCCAAGTTGCGTAATCTTACGTTTTCTTGATTTATCGCCTTTATATACGCGCACATACAGCACGCACGACGCGCGCGGCTACTATACGCCGGAGAAACGTATATTTGCTTAGTACTCGAGCTATGACCACTCGTATATAGATAGATATATGTACGTACCCATACGTACGTAAAAGTCTCTATACTTTATTAATGTGTGTTGTGTGTGCATAATAACGGACGAGCGATCGCCGGAAAAGCACCGAGAGGCATCGAGTCGTTTTACAGTTTTTTTTTCTCTACTTCTTCTTCTTCTCTAAATAATATCAAGTTATTTACAATTTAAACAATTCTCGAGCTGCTGCTGCTGCTGCGAATTCGGGCTACCGCGGGCTCGGACTTGGTTGAAATTCTCAAAAATTTTATTGTACACGCCTATGGAGCGGAGACTTCGCACCTTGGAAAAAGCCACATTCGCTAGCTTATCGATATTGTTATTTATTAAACACGTTCGATCGAGCTCGGTGCGCGAGAAAATGTAGGTGAATCGCGCGGGAAGGCTTGAGTTTTTCACGCGTTTACAATGGTATACATACGGACAAACAAAACGCGCACGTTTCTACGTGAAAAATTGATTTTTTAAAACCATCTGACTTCTTCGAATCACAAATAGCATAACATTGGTGCACGTTTGGATGAAATTGTATTTTTTTTTCTTGATTTTAAATCTCTAAGGAAAAAAAGAAGAGAGGGAGAGGGAGAAAAAAATCGTCTTTCTCACGCTCCAAGAGACTTTGATTAATCAATGCAAGTAATGTGTCAGCAGCACTCCAGCTCTCTCGGTTCTCGCTCGTCGCGCGATACAGACCGATAATCGTCGAATATAATCTGATAATGACGGATAAAAAGTAATTATCTGGCATATTTATAACGTTACGGTTATAAAAAAATTCGATTGTGATTATAATTCGCGCGTTGCTGAAATTAAAAAATCACTCGAGCGAAACACGTGTAAAGCGTCGAGATAAGTTCATCCTTGGAAATCCAACTTGGATACGATGGTGTAAAAGAATTCGCGTGAAAAGAAAAAAAAACGTAAAAAAAAAAATTACACCCGTGCGCTAAAAATTATCTCTCGAAAAAACTCCCGCGCGAAGGCACGGTTGACGATGTATGTATCCGCGTGCATATACTACCGCGAAAAAAAGAGGCACGAGTCGATAAAAATTTCAGCTAACGATAACTCATGCAGAGCGTGGCGCATAATGAAAGGAAATGCAAAATTGAATCAAGCCCGAGCCAACCGCAGAGTTCATTTCTCTATTCATTGCGTTTACACCGACACTTTGACTCATCACTTGTATTCTGCGTATCTCTTTCTCTCTCTCTCTCTCTTCATATTTACACACTTTCTATTCATTTTCATATACTCGCGTGAGACCCATGCTCGCGCGCTATCTCCTAGTGCTTTTTGAGTATCATCAAATCATTTTTTTTCCTTTATACCCTCAGCTCTGTAACTAGACTAAAATACTTGAAATTTCTTTTTCATTCAATATAATAATTTTATACTCGTCAAGCATAATTATAATTATGAGTCAAAATACGGATCCAAAGTCAAATTAACGAAGGTTTCGATTGAGAATATTGTTTAAACAATATCAAACAATTCATTAAAAATATTTTCAGTAATCAATAAAATTATCTACACAGGACGTATACAATCTTGTTTTTCTTTTTCTGAGAAAAAATATAACGGTCTTCTATGTAAATTGTTCTTTTCTATTTACTTCGCTAATTGATTTGATGCATCTCATCTTGGTGCTTTTAGATCGTTAAATTTCAATTCTTATTAAGCATCTGTATCTTTTCAACTCTTTTTAGAACACCATTCATCAATCACCTTTCAACGCATTTTTACATAAATATATAAAAAAATTATAATAATTTAAGAATTTTAACAATTATTAATACTTCACTGTAAACTCTTTGAATTTATCAAAGAGTTTAATTGTAAAATAAATATATAAAAAATACTTTAAAAAATGTCATTCATATTTTCACTTTTATTCTCTAGCAAACTAATAGCATAATTTAATCAAAAGCCCAAAGGTATCTACACAAAACTGCCCATCTCTTAAAAAAAGAAGAAAGATTTACGAATTTAAAAATGCACGAGAAAAATTACACCAAGCTCAAAATTAAATGATGTCACATTTGATAACGAAGTATTTTTCTGTTTTTTTTTTCAGACTCAATTTAATTGACGAAACCTTGTACATGCACCTCGCACTTTCAAATAATTACACATCAAACATCGAGCGTTAATTGATAATTTAAATGGAATTTAATACAACAACAAAATCCGTCTAATTTTAAATCACAACACCCGTCTTTTACGATAGCCATAATGCAAATCTATTTACGTACTTTACGCTCCGCGCGACCTTCCAGTTTTTCGTAGTGCAAATTTCTCGCGCTCAGCGCGACCCTTTCGCGACACACGCAGCAGCAAAACACACGAGGAGTGCAAGTACGGTCTCTCGGCTTTATAATACGTACAAGCGCAAACCAATGCTAGCTCGCTCGCTACTGTCAACTATTTTTATAAATAACCATTCACAAGGCTAAGACCGGTCCTTGTTTGTGCACTTAAACAGTCATTTTTATTACGCCTACCCACCGGTGTGTTGTGTGTGTGCTTATTATGGCTATGGCTTATTCGTTTTCTTATAAAATTTCAACGTAATCTGAGATTCCTTTTTGCTTTATTTTCTTTTTTTTTTTTTTTTCATTTTTTATTTCTACGCGCGTAGCACAGGCCTGGCCTTCGAAACTACCTCTACCTATCGTATATATTCTACACACATAGGCAAAATTCTTACTGCGAACGCGCGCAGAAACTTGTCTTTCGATATACGCAATAAATGCGCCGGACTAATGAATTCTTCTTGGACATTTTTTTATTTCTCCTTCGTTTTGAAAAATATTCCCCCCGATTTATTGCCCACTTAACATGCAAATAAACGTTCACGCCTTGAACTTTGATTATGGCTCTCGTGTCTAACACTCGCGTGCAATTTTTAAAAGTGAGAGAAATTTTTTTTTTGGCGAGAACGAAAGAATTTCGAGAAGTAAGTAGCAACAAATTGAGTGCCAAATTTGTCTTATCGTGTTGATGCGAGATTAATCATAAGTACCGATTTTTTTCCTTCGCATTCTAATCTCTAATTATAAATTTTTGAACAGTATTTCAGAAGAACAAATGAAAAATGCCTTATTTTATATTTGATAAATTTTTTTATTGTTGATGGTTTTGTCTCGATATAACGATTTTGACATTAAGCTTAAGACACATTAAAGAACACTCCGAAACACATCTTTCAATGAAAGATTGAAAATATTATAATATGCATAAGTTAGTAGATTATAGGTATTATCAAGAATTTATTTATATTCTCATAAAAAATATACATTCAAGTTGGATACCAATAGCTTTAATTAAACAGACAAATATCTGCTAGTCATTTTTTGTTTTTAAAGTTTCTCATATTCTTAAAATCAGGACGAAAACTTATAAAATAAAATAAAAATTAATACATTTCTGAAACTTGAATTTCATTGATATAATCTAAAAAACGTTTACCAATTTAATGAAACAATGTGCGATAATAATTTTCAATGCGAGCCTAAAAGTGAAAGTGGCCCATTAAAAGTGTGAAATTTCAAAAAAATTGTATACTAAGTACCTAATTAAAACATGCAATGACAATTCGTGGAATGCCTCGAGATCTTCTCGTATACGATCATCAATAGGAAATCATTGCGTACATACTTAAATTATATACAGATTATGCGCCATTCTTCGGCATATGAAAATCTCGATTCTCAACAATACATGGTAATGATGAGCAACACGCCCACTTCAGATATTTCAAACAGCACTTAGAGCAATCATCGCCAAAAATCAGATAATTAGAAAAGAATGTAAAATCGGAAACGTATGCATTAGCACCTACCTGAGAAGCGTGCATTAAAAAACTATAAATCTCGTTACACTTTAAATGTATGCGCTATCATAAATTACTCACAATTGAACTTTATTTAATAATAAATCAATCATTAATGTAGAGGCCTAGTCGCTGCTAAATCAAGTGCACAATAAATGTCAATAAAAAATATCAATAAACAAAATGTATAAATTTTTCATTTAAATAATCAATAAAAATGATGAAAATTAATCAAATGATTGTCTAATTATTATATTATTTGCCTTCAAAAATAATGAAAGAAAAAGCCTCGTGCAAAATAATTGAAAGGACACGAACAGTTTTCAAAATTGCACAAATGCATTCAACTCTTCAAGTACAAACGCGACTCGTAAAGTCAGAGGAAGTCCCAACATTCATATATTTATATTTCTGGAAATAGCTCCGAAATAGCAATGCACAGAAAACACACTACACGGTAGCTACACTCTCTCTTTCTGTTTCTGACCTTCAAGAATTCAAACGTATTATGCTTTCTAACGAGAGCTAAGACGTCCTAATGATAGTTAATTTTGTTGTTAATCCTTTTTTTTCACCATTTTAGGAAAAGTTGATCCAACGCCACACACGTCATCCTTCAACATGGGCTATCTTGTTTCGCCGTATCCATACCCCAACGGAGCGGGTGGACCAATTCCAGTTTCTATGGTAAGTTTTTTTTTTGTTTTGGCGCTTACATTTCGATGATTAATGATGCATTTAATTAATTTTCCCCAAAATGAACGAAGAAATTCCTCTGCTATATGATTAATACTGTAAATTTGTCGTATGTCCCGATAGATTTTCTTTTCAAAAATTGTCAAAGATCTAGATGTCGCTTGAAACGCGTATTGGTAGTACAGATGCACTAATTTTACAAAGTCCCTACAGACCGTTCGATCTATTACTGACTATCGATTGGGATAATCAATCCCAAAAGTTCAATCCGACACTGGCAACTTTCATTTTTATCGCGAGCTTTTTCAATTAGCCACTGGTTGTTTTTTTATTACGAAAAAAAAAGAAAGAAAAAATTCGCACAGTGAGAGAGACTCGAGCCTAGCTGCAGCGAAGCACACACCCACACACTCTGTGTGGCGTGTGTCATATGTACATAACAAGTGTGCACGCAGAGGGCTATTCTTAACAAAGAAGGATGACAAATAAAAAAAAAAGAGCAGAAACTCCATTGTTTCTCTTTTTCTTTCTCTTTCTCTCGTTCTTGCTGCGCGCGCGCTACGAAGTTAAATAACGGGTAGTTTTTCAAGAAAAAGGGCCAAATTTCCGTGCGCGCTCGAAATTCGAAACTCTCTTGCGATTTCTATTTCTATATTCCTCCTCCGGTTACGAACGATGTAATTATTTGCATTTCGTACTTTATTTTTTGCTGAAATTTAATTGATCCTTCGCTGAAATGTATTTTATTTTTAGTCCGCTTTGATCAAGGCAAAATGTGGTTTTTCACACGCTGTACGTATTCATAATTTCGACGTTCGCAATTCAGACAAATTATCGGGATTATTTCTCCAACCCGAATACTTTTTGATAGTAATAAATTCATTAGCAGCTTCATAATTACGAGGACTGCTATTTATCGGTTGCAAATGTATCGCTCGATCGCAGAGACTCGCTCGTATACGGAATATACACGCGAACCTCCGCGAGCGCTAGCGGATAAGAAGCTATTTTAAGAACGTGGTTCTGCATGAAGCTCATATTATTATGGTAAGTTGTAAAGAAAAAGCTCCATGCACATATGCGCGCGTGTACAGCTACACAACGTCTACTTTTAGATCGGTCTGATTCCTCGTCTAGAGAGAGAAATAAAAAATATAAAAAAAAAAATTCGCTCGAGGGAAGTCGCATACTTCTCGCGCGCGCCTCTCTGCGCTTGTATTTGTGTATATATACGCGATTATATATTTTGATACCGCCACACAATTTCGCGTGAAAATTTTTACCCCCCGAATAAAAAGAGAGAGGAGAAAAAATTAACGCCGTCGAAATTCGTCGAGAGTGGAAGTAACAAAACGTAAACAAAGGCAAAGAAAACTATCGATTACGCGCAGTTGCAGCGGCGTCGACGCGGGGAGGGAGGGAAGTTTGAATGAAGTATTTTTGAAACCATAATAGGAAATGAGCATCCGTCACGCTCATCAGGCAACGAGTTTACGATAAACGGAAATGAAGGGACAACGATCGTGTATACATACGAGACCAGAATCTTACTCCCGGTTGGCTTTCTGTTTCAATTTGCTGCTCGTGTGTGTGTAAGTGTGTGTATGCATCGAGCGGCAATTCGAAAAAAAAAGCGACACTCGTATTTTTTTTTGTCGTTGCTACTGCTGCTACCGCTCGTAAAACCGACTTGAATTAACTTTTGGATTTTCGCGAACGATTAAATTTTGTAATTTCGAGTCGCGTTGCTAATGGAATACGAGAAAATAATAATGTGAATCGTTTGTTGATCCTCACAATTGGACTAATTGATCGAAGAATGTAGATGCTCAATGCAACCGCATTCGAATTGAGAAAATTAAAAATCAACTCGAGCGTGTATATATCATGATACTCAATCATCGATGAGAAAATCTAATAAAATAAAATAAATTTAAAAAAAAAAGGCACGCGATGCGACGACGACAATTATCATTGCGAAATATAGCAAGTGTATGCGAGTCAATTTCAAAAGAAGCCAGTGCATAAAAGTCAATATAATATATGTGGCGCGTAGCTCGCGCACTGTTTACACAACCCCCATTCTCGATTTTAATCTATCCAAGCTTTTGCGTATAATATGTGTGACCAGTTGGGAGATATATGCTGACGCAACTCGAACTATCCTTAATAAGATAGATAGATTTTCTCATTCTCGTTTTTGCCTGAATTCCTCGCGCTCGGGTTGTGTGTAGTGGCGGCACGACACACGAGTGTCGACGTGAATTTTTCAAAAAAAAATATACAAATTTTCAATCGCGCGGTCGTGTATCGACGCGTCGAATCGACTTTTCGTTCAAATTTTTCTCCAGCCTCTTAATGAATTTATAACGATTTAAACGAGACCGCGTTCAATTGATCTTTAGTTCGGCTACGCGCGCGCCTGAATCGACTTCTCAAGTTAACATCCTTTGGCAATTGCCACGCGCTTCTCGAATAGTCAATCTTTTATCGAACGTGCTTGATAAATTTGCACTGAATAACAATTAAGCGAGCTGTGTATGCTCTTGTGTTACTAGTCGCTCGCTTCGTGACCCGAGACGACGCGGACGCTTCGAGACATTAATTATACGAATATATAATATATTTCGCAAAAACAGAGAAAAATCGAGCAAAGACGACGACGACGACGAGATTGCTTATGCATTATTTCATATACCCGTCGAATCCCTATTTTTGACTTCTCTCTCGCTCTCTCTTTCTCTCTGCTGCTGCTGGGTGATCGCCACGAGGGGAAGAAAATATAAGGGTGTGCGCAAAAGCGACCGCGAACCAATCGGAGCGGCGTCGGGCCGCCGAGTGAAAATGCCGCTGCGATTGGGCGCCTCAGCCTTCGATGGGGAGTAGTTACCCCCCATGTGTACCGAAAGCTGCTGCTGCTGCTGCGATGTATATGCTATATGTAGAGAAAGCTTCGTGGTGCTCTTCTCACGGCTACTTCTGCTGCGCGACTTACTCTCGTCTATTTTTCCACTCGACTTTTTTCAACTGGTCACTGCCTCTTGCGAAGCGATCGACACTTGACAAAAGTGTCACAATCTTCGCTGCGTTAAAAAGTAATGATCCGACATGAGTGCTTTTTTCGGCATCGTCATTCCTTGATTACAATTTTTTCAAATCCAATTCAGAGAGTCAATTTAATTTCATCTCTTATAATTATATGTTTTAAAAATTCACTCACTGATACGGCTTGCCGTGACTTACGTCTATTTGTAAAGAAAAAAAAAAGCTAAAGGAGAGGCGTGCAAAAATTGAAATTCAAAGCAGTAGCGGAGCTTGTTTTAAAACAAAAGCTCCCAAAATAAGCTAGCAAAAGTGCACATTAAAGAGCTAAAGATTATAATGCATTCAGCGTGTATTTGTGTATACACACGTACGCAACGAGCAGCTCGCGTCGCTCCCGATTATTATACATACACACATAGACATTTCGAAAGGCCGAAGCCGGGATCACGGCAGATTATTATTATCGTCATCGATGCTAACGTATATATAGTGGTACATAGCGGCCGGTCTGCGCCGTCTGTTTTGTGCTTTTAATTTATCATTGCTGCTGCTGCTCGAGCTCTGGGCAGAGAACGAGAGAGAGATGAGAGATGAGAGAAAAATTATATGATACGCGTTAAAGAGCGAACTCGATCTCTGCCGCTGCAGTAGTAGTGGTAGTGGTAGTGGTAGTTGTGCGAACTGCCCGAGTAGTAGTAGTAGTAGCGTCACGGGGCGAAATTGAAGCGAATTAGCCGCGCAACGGCACTAGTGATCTCTCGACTAAATTTGTATTCTGCCTCTTTCGGAGCGAGAGAGAGAGCGAGAGAGAGAGCGAGAGAGAGAGAGTCGAGAGAGGGGTTGTGTGCTGCTGCTGCTGCTTCGTACAGCTAATTAATTAGTCGGCGAGCGAGCGGGACTACGTACTATCTGCGTGATGCCGCTGCTGCTGCCGCTGCTGCTGTTGAGCGGCTATTCGACTGCGTTCAGTGCGATAGTAGTGCAGAACAATGCAGTGGTAGTCTCTCTCTCTCTCTCGCAACATTGCCATGTTTCATGAGCTGAGAGCAGCAGCAGCACCACCAAATATTTGATGCTAACCATCGTCGAATAGCAACATCGAACTCACATGCACATGCACACACATACACACAGACGCACACCAGCGCTTATACCAATTCAAATACAAGTAAACCCACAAGTACACACCTATATATGTACGATAGATCGAGCGAGGCACCAGATTGATTCGTGCGTATATATTATAGTGTGTGTGTGTATCTGTGTGGTTTCTGCACATGCGGATACACAGACGTATATAATGCAACGCGCCTACGTGTGAAAGTGTATAATGCTCAATCACACGTACACACACACGCAATTCGCATTTCGTATATATGTGTACAAGTAAGCGCGTAATGCATACTAGCCGGCTCGAAAACATCGACGCCTCCTGTTATTTGCATTCTCCCGGCAGCAGTCAGCGATGTCATTGTCTTTTCTCTCTCTTCTCCTCCACCTCCTTTCACTCCTCCTTCTCTCTCTCTCTCTCTTGCTATTTGTCTCTTTCTCGAATGCTCAGGCGTATACACACACACACACACACACACACACACACACACACACACACACACACACACACACACACACACACACATATATATATGCGATAGTGTGTAGCACAGCGAGCGCGATGCTCGCCTCGTGTTTTTTATCCTCTTTTTTAGAGACTGCTCCGACTGCTTAGAGGCCTCTATATACGTATGTGTAGCTTTTCTGCACAGCGTTAACAGCAAACTGCTGCTGCTGCTTCTCGCTCGCTTTTTTTATACGTTCACATGCGCGCGAATATATATAGTATGGCAAGCCACCGCCACCGCTGCCGAGGCTCATTCTTTCACCTCTTTTCTAGCGAGAACTTTTTTCTTCCCATTTAATACTTTTGCTCGTTTTTTTTTCTCTCTCTC